GTTGCCGCCGGCGGCTGGCAGGCCCGGCCCGGCGCCGCGGGACCGTGTGACTCAGTCCGATCGGCGATCACTGATCGGACTGAGTGAGTCCCGACTCCCACCCTATGGGCCCCGGGCGGCGACCTGGGCTTGAAGTACTGATGCCCGGCTGAGTAATTGCCAGCCGCGGAGTGAGTCACACGGTCCGTGGCAGTGACAGTCACGCCGCCGCGTGCGGGCACTCGGAGAACTGAACCGCATGCGGCGCGGCTGACTCCCGGATCCGGGCGTGACTCAGTGAGTCCAGGAAGCCTGACACGGTTTCGGAAGTTCATCATCATTGGCCGGGCTGCTGAGAACGGTGAGTCCGAGCGTGTCGGATTTCGATATGATGAGTCCCGGTTTCAGTGGCCGGGCATCATGGCAGAACCGCCGTCACTACGTGACTACTAGTAGTCAGTAACAGGCTACTGAGTTCTTACAGGCTTGAGCCCGGCGAACTTCCGACGAAGCGCGGGACTCGTCACAAGTTCCCGGAGTCCGGCCCGGGCAGTCCCGGGCTGGCCGGCGGCCGCCGGCGCCGGCCCGGCCAGACACTCAGTGCCTGAGATCTCCGATGATCGGATCCGGCCGCCCCGGCGACTCCTGACTCCCGGCGCCGGAGTGATCATCGGATGCCAGATTGGCAAGTCACTCACCGTACTGGCGGCCCGGCCCGGCCACGGTGACTCAGATTGAGACCCTCGGAACGGGCCAAGTTTCGCCAGGCCCGCCCCGCCGAGTCCACAGTACGGTCATCCGCCCTGAGCCATTACCGAGAGTCACGAAAAATAAGCCTTGAAGAGATACCCACCCCCTCAGCTGTTAACCCTATCCCGGAATAAAAAGGGGTGGTAGGGGTGGTGGAGTTCACCTGACCATTTCCTTTCACAATGAAGAGGCATCCGATCCCGCCAGTTCGAACTTCGGACCCACCCCACCCACCCCACCCCTCACCGAATTCAAGAGATGCCCGAAGGACCCGGGTACTTGCACCCTGAAAGCACCTTGGAGGCCGGGCCAACAAATACGAATTATTATTTATAACCTTTTTTTCAGGACCGGTCCACCCCTCCCCTACAACTTTACTGATCTGTACCACACTGGCAGTGAGGACCACCGGTGGTCACTTCATGTCGACAATCGGAACTACCGTACCCTCACCACCCTCTCCTTGAGTACACGGGGGCCTTGAGCTTGTGGGAAAGGAGGGAGGGGTACTGAATGATGACCTCACCCTAAAATCCTGGGGGTCAGTCAGACCCGGACCACCCACCCCCAGCTTTCCCTTTCACAGGAGTCTCGGATGCCGAGATCAGACACTCATTCGACCACCCGTAGTCATTGACTGGTACTTTACTGCAAGCAGGGGAGCATCAGTGTACCCCTCCCAAACAAACCCGGCGATGCGACTCTAGTACCCCCTCCACCCTCTACCCCACCCCACCCACCCCTCCCCTCGCGGCAATTCCGGGCCTACTAGAATAAAGTCCCTCGGAACGACTTGTTCGAAGTTGAGACAGCCTACCCCACCCCCTGGGTGTCACAGTGTACCACCCCAAGTACCTGCAAACGGGGCGAAAGCGAGGGGTACGGTACCGTGTACCCTCTTTGCACACCCCCTCCACGTGACAGTACAGTAACCCTACCCCTTACAATCGATCCGACTCACTTCGGACTTGAGATTGCACCCCTCCATTTCACATTGATCACCCCCTCCTTTCAGACTACCGCACGGTCTCCTGTAATAGGATTGGCAAAATTGTGCTACCCCACCCACCTTTCCCAGGGTACGGTACAATATCAGCAAATGCCACCCCACCCCCGTCCCCGGGCCTGCAAACTGTGAGTAGGACCCCACAAAAACTTCTTGCCTCGAAAACCCTTTCTGCTCTTCCTGCTCTTACCCGTTCATCCGATGATCTCCTCTCCTCTCCTCTCCTCTCCTCTCCTCTCCTTCTCCTCTCCTTGCTTCTGCTCTGCTCTGCTCTAAACTGCTCTCATGTTCTCAGCTCAGCTCAGCTCTGCTCTGCTCTGCTCTGCTCTGCTCTCATGTCCTCTGCTCTCATATCCTCTGCCCTGCTCTGCCCTGCCCTGCCCTGCTCTGCTCTGCTCTGCTCTGCTCTGCTCTGCTCTGCTCTGCTCTGCTCTGCTCTGCTCTGCTCATCTCTCCTCTCCCCTCCCTCCTCTCCTCACAACTTCTCAGTGTCCTTCTCTCTTCAGCTCTTCTCTCCTATCAGTCCTCTGCTCTGCTCTGCGATCCTCGCCTCCCCTCTCCTTTTGCAGCCCCAGTCTCCTTGTTTTTTATTTGACTACATGTCTCGATCCTCTGCAAACTCCTCCATGCCTTGTTGTTCTTGCCTGTTTACGAGATATATAGCAAGGGTGAAAACTTTTAGTGCAATGGGCAGCAGGAGAACGAATAGAAAGAAGAAATTGATGATGCAGATGATGATATTGAAATCCTCGGCTAAACTCTCTGAGACCATCACATCAGTCTTATCGTTACTACAACGTGTGTCTGTTCTCTTTTCTGCCAGTGGCTGCACCTTGTTTACTTTCCTTCATCTCATATAAATCGTGAGCTCTTAGAGTGTCTTCAGACCGATCATGTCAGGATTGTCTCACATCCCTCCTAAGATTGTGGCGGAGAGTCCATGGGCTAGGCGAAGATTGTGATCATTGACGCAGGTACTGATGACGGTGAGGTTGGAACATGCTAGGAGAAGGCGAGACAGTGAGGATAAAGAATCTCCTTCCTGTTAGAACGCTCTGCTGACCTCCTCGTACAAGAGCATCTCCATTCGCAACAGAGTGTATGAGATTGTACACGAGCACTTGTGTGTGAAACCATGGAATCCCCGCGATCTCCAAGGGAGTCACGAGTCCTCTCTGCCGACCAGCTATCAAGGATGAGCCGGATCAATTCAGCAGACAATATCATCAAGCTGAGCCGTAAGAACTCAGTCGACAACATGGAGAGGGTAGATCGCAACAAGTCAGCAGAGAGAGCTCCGAGATTGAACCGGATACACTCTGCCGGCGACATCTCTCTCAGTACCAGCGGCAAAGAGTCTCTTACCATGCCAGGCATGCTGGACTCTCCAGGGTCGGTCACGACGAACAAGTCAGAGCCAGCGCACAGGTTTGCGAAGCTTCGGATGAACGGTTCTTGGAAGCACATGTCCAAGAGCTCCATCAAGGATCCCAGGCGGATCCTGTTGGAGGCAGACAGCTGGTTGAGCTCCATCAGGATCGCTTCCGGACAACCTCACAGGAAGGAGGCCGGGGATGTTGGATGGGAGAAGTTGGCGCAACAGCAGCTGGCAAACATTGAAGAGCTGATCCCCAAGACCCTCTCCTCCTTGATCCCGGACTCAGTTCAGACAGGTGCGGTACAATGCCTCTACCATGCACATCCTCCTCCTCATTGTCGTCTCTGACAGTGATTCTTGACCCTCCAGCCCTCTCCAAGGAAGGAAGATCGCGGGGTACACCCCTCTCCGCTGCTCGCCCTTCCGCTTCTGAGCCCGTGCTGGCGAAGGACCTGGCTAAGGGCGGCCAGGAGGCCGTCGAGACTCGCGAGAGGAGAAAGGTTACGTTCAAGATCGAGTGAGGGGGTCTTCATGTACAGTCATCCATAGGCAGGGGCTGTAGAGCTAAGGGTGGACGAGGGGGCAGCGACGTCCAGGCCCTGGGGCTCAGCTTCATGCTCCTGCAAGCGGCATCAGGACATGGCGAGAGGGAGTTGGGAGGGGAGGAAGTCGTGTCGCTTCCTTGAACCTGTAAGCTCCGTAGCCCAAGAGACTCGATGACATCTACGATGACAAGGTCACGTGCCATGGCTCAGGTGGGGACGAGCTGGTCAGTTCACCTCGACAAGCCTCGCTCCTGGCTTTGTTGTACAGAGTCTTGACCTTCCAAATTCTCAGCTTCTCACCGTCTCTTGGCTCCTCCTCCTCCTCCTCCTCCTCCTCCTCCTCCTCCTCTCCTCCTGTAGCTTACAGACTCAAGATCAGCTCCCAGCCTGCACAAGAACAACATCAACCGCTGCGGCACAAGTCGGGAGGGATAGACTGCCTGTTGGTGACGACGGAGCAGACGCGATGGGGAGGGCGGTTAACGAGGCTGGAACATTTGCCAATCACGTCCAAGGAAGGAAGCTGAAAGAGGGAGCGAGGAGCGAGGAGAAATTTTCTTTTACCTCACTCGCAGATGATTGAGCTTCCTGTTCGCCTCCTCGTACTCCCTCATGGCCTTCTCGAAGATTGATTCCTGGGCCTCAGATTTGACGGCCGTTAAGATTTCTTGATTCTCCTTTGACAAGAATAAACCGTCAAAAGATATCGGGAACGGTCCCTGACCGCCAGGTCTCTTACCATGCCCGCTGGTAGGATAGTGGAGCTCTTCCGCCGAAATGTCTGATGAGATGCGGAGGATGACCCGGGGCAGCAAGGGAGCAGGCAAGTACGCTTCGTACCTGCTCGTGGATGAGGGAGAGATCCTGGTAGTAAACCTTGAGGTTCTCGATCTCCACCAGCTTCTCAGGTGGGAGCTGAGAAACCTGGCATGCTCGTCAGCTCTGGTCGTGCTGGGGACTTGAAATGCTCCGACTTTGTTCTTGTGCGCATGGATCGAGCGGAGCTTCGCTGACTCAACGGCTGCCGTCCCATGTCAGTCACGTGACCCGCCCTGAGGTGCCGACAGGACCAGCGATGAGGCCGTTGGGCGCGAAGACAGGATGTCTTGAGAACCAGCCCAGGCCCTGGCACACCCTCAGAGACATTGGAGGAGGAGGAGGAGTTGGTGGTGGGGGTGGTTGCTGTGGTGGTGGAGGCGGTGAAGAGGAGGACGAGGAGGACGAGGAGGACGAGGAGGTGGTGGTGGAGGAGGAGGACGAGGAGGAGGACGAGAAGGAGGAGGAGGAGGAGGAGGAGGAGGAGGATCACTCTTGAAGTAGGAGACTTGGCGGGGGGGTCGGCCTTTCCTTCTTCATCGTGCTCACTCTGCTCAGTCTCTCTTGCCCCTTGTGCCCCGCTCTTCTTCAGCACGGCAGCACCAGCTGCCTTGACATGTAGCTTCAGCTTGTCCTGCTTCTTGTCAGCCTGCAAACCACCTCAGCAATGCGCTCCCATCCCTTGCAAGGCTTTCCTTGGCGTTTGACCGCTGCTGCTGGTGTGCTCGGTGCAAACTTTTCTTCTTCGCCATGGACTGCGAAGTACCGCGGCAGATGCTCGAGACTGGATGTTCGTTGGTTTCTCACACTGTCATCACCCTGACAAAAACTTTCAATCCCCGCCCCTCCCTCACTGCCTCCTCCTCGATCTGAGGCTCAGAGTCACTGTACCACCCAACAGTAGAATGTTCTGCCTGCCTGCCTGCCTGCCTGCCTGCCTGCCTGCCTGCCTGCCTGCCTGCCTGCCTGCCTGCCTGCCTGCCTGCCTTCTTTTCCAAGTTTCTTCCTTACTCCTTCTCTCCTTTCCCCTCCTGTCGGCCTCCTGGGTGTGGAACCACCTCCCTCTCTTAACAGGCTCTCAGCAAACTGCTTGTACAAAGCTGCTATCGGATCCCACTCTTCCACTGAAAGTTCATGAAAGCCGATGAAAGCCGAACCCTAAAGGGCCATCATGCCGATCACTGCCAGAGCATCGGGGTATCCGTGCAGGTAGACCGACGGTAAAGGACCTCAGCTAGTCACTGTAAGAAGGGAGCTCCCTGCAAGTAAGACGCTAAGGTACTCCGTTAGTCACTGTAATCGGAAGGGAGCTCAAGTAAGACGCTAAGGCCCTCCGCTAGTCACTCAGTAAGAAGGGAGTTCAAGTACTTGAAGACCGTACGTTAAGGTACTCCGCTAGTCACTGTACGGTAAGAAGGGAGCTCAAGTAAGACGCTCAGCTAATGTACGAGTCCGCGGCTAGTCACTGTAAGAAGGGAGTTCAACTAAGACCGTACGTTAAGGTACTCCGCTGGTGCCACGTTGCCAGTCTCCCAGCCACATCCTGAAGTTGCCGTCCTCAATGACCCGAACGAAACTCGCTGCCGGATTTGACAGCCGTTGAAACGGTTTTCAAAACCGTCACTTTGTTTTACCCTCCGAAAACAAGTTTTACCGGGCCTACTCTTCCTCTATATCGTCCTCGTGCTGATCTTTGACTTAACTTTGAGTAAAAGTCAGTTTGGACTGAGCACTGTGTTGAAAGGCTTTTCAAGTAGCCGGTCACATCAGAGTAATGTAGCCTGTACCGTCGATCATGATACTACTGTGCCAGTGTGACACAGGCCCATCATAGTAATGCCGGCCGGGGGCCGGGCGGCCGCTCAGCGCCGGGCTAGTACTCGGGTCCGACCGGGCCGGGATCTGATCTCGAGTCTGACTCGGGCCGATCGGACGGCCGGGCGGCGCCCGGCGCGGCGGCGCGGGCGCGGCCGCCCGCCGCGCCGCGATTACGCCGGGTTGCCCGGCATGTTCAACGGTCACCGGGTTGTTGAACGGCCCAGCCGGGCGGCCGCGGCCCGGGGCCGGGCACTGCAGGCTCTACCGTCATGGCGTGCCAGTGACCGGACTTGCCCGGCGGCGGCCGGCCCGGCCGGCGGCCCAGGGTGATTATAGTAGTAAACACGGTCTTTACTGAACAAAAGTTAAGTCAAAAATCAGTGTCACGGTACCGTAGTCCTGTGACAGTGACTGAATTCCGGAACTTCCGAAGTTCCCGGTACGGCCGTACCCCGCGTCGTAACGGCGGTGACAAGCGGCCGAGGGCGCCTAGCCTCCGACTGAATCGGCCGTCACGGTACGCCTGAGGCTAGTAAAAGACCGTACCTAGTAAAAGACTAGGGAGCGGGAGTCTCCTGATTGTCCTCGTACTCATCTTTAACTTAATTTTGAGTAAAGAGTACAAGCTTGACCCTGACCGTGCCAGATTGAACTTCACTACTAAAACTCCTAGTCACTCGGGGCCCGGGTTGCCATGGGCCGGCCGGCCGGGCGGCCATGTACCGTCACAGCCGCTGAGCTCAGCGACGGCCGGGCGGTGATATTGAGTGAAATTAATCGGTACCAAGTTGTACCGTGCGAATGTCAGTCAAGTGTTGTTGCTCGCCATAAAGCTTGAGTAAAGACAGTCTGATCGAAGTGTATCAGTGCCCGAGGGTCGCAAGCACAAGGGTACCAGCATCCACGTCTTCAATTAGTGCCAGACTTAAGAGATGTTCGAGGTAGACCCAAGGACGTGGCGCGACACCTTTTGACTCCTGATGCGACTGCCCGTGCAAACACGATAAAATCCGATTTCATATTGGAGCTACGTCCCTGAGCAATTTCAAAAGACATCCTTTCGGTAATTTTATCAAGGGGTTACCGGTCAAAGTGGTCAAATAAATCACTTTCTTTCGAAAAGAAGCTTTTTCGAAATATGTCACGGTCAGTCCACTCCCTACAAAGCCGGCATCTCCTTCAATTGTTCCCTCATTGCCTCCCTTCCTCACGCTCTCCCTCCCCAGCGCCCCCCTCCTCGAACAAGGTCGTGACGTCAAAGACCATCTGCTCCGTTCTACTCTGATTCCCATCCTCTCCTCCCGACATGGCGAACCACCCAAATAAGCAAGTCCGAGGCATCTCCTGCATTTCCAAGGACTTGAACGATCTCGAAATCTGTGCCCGGCTCAGAAACGAGCACTCGTGTGCATACCCATCAAGGGAGAAGCAGCTGAGATGCTTGCAGTCTGCTATGCAGATGATCATGAACAAACAAACATACGTCAGCGCAACTGGCGAGATGGAACAACTGTAAAATACACTCACATATTGATGTTCAGCTCCGTGCGAGCATGTATTTCTATGTACTTTAGTACTGAAGATATCATCTTGTAACACCATTTGGAATAAATCTCCATGACAATCTATTTGATTCATTTTGTCACACACTTGGAATGAAACTCGTGGAAGTGTATTTTATTCGTTTTGGGAATCTATGCTGAATCAACATATTCTGTCCATGAAAATCAGTTTCCCAAGTGTTCTTTGAAAATGTGTAAGTCAAGTTTGTTTGATATTTGTATTAGTTTGCAATCTTGATCACAAAATCCAAGGATCAGAAATGTCAATATCATCAACAGGAAATTCTCCTACAGCAAAGCCGATCGGTTTTACACACACAAAAGCACACATACAAAGTCACCAGAACCAACAAGACGGGAAGACAAACATGACCTTCACTTCCGCGCGGTCATCACAAAAGCTTCAACACGGAGAGGAGGTCCCACACCTCGAAGCTCTTCGTCTCCTCGTTGTACATGAAGCACATGGCATCTCCCTTAGGAGCACACTCGTGTCCATACTGGCACAGCCACGTTTCTCTCACTCCTTGCTCCATCAAGTGCCCGAGCCCTCCTGCTACGAATCTGCCCGTACTGGTCGTGAGCTCATGCACAATCTCGTCCCATGTCGCCGTCATGACACACTTCTCCTTCCTCGGCGTGCAGGACCAAGACTGCGGGCAAGAGTACATCTGCTTGCGCCATTGCTCGTCACCGTTGAGCCATGTGGTACATCCTGCCCGCCAGCCGCCTTGTTTCCAGTGCCAGCTCAGCCTGTACTGGCAGTCAGACTCAGACTTGTTGACGGGATGAAGATTGGAGTCCCAAGTGTCTGCTGAGTTCAACCAGATCTGACTGGATGGAGCAAAGCCCATGCTCCATCCTTCCACCCAGTACCTCCACGTTCCGAACTCTGGTCCTGCCGCCTCGTAGTAGCTGGTGGTCTTGTTGAAGTTGCTGGATCTGAAGATGGCGGCGAGCGTCAGTACAGTTAGATTGCTTCCGCTCACGTTGGAGGACTGCCCAGGAGGCATGGCAGCAAGCACAAGGTACTCTCTGCTCTTGCACCGCTCGACGTCGGCGTCGTCGTTGCCTTGACCGTACACGACGTCGAAGCAGAGTTCACAATTGCGGAGATTGTCGACGGAGTAGTCGAGCTGTATGCCGGAGAAGATGGGGTCGGAGCAGTCGTAGATGATGTTGTTTGCAGCAGAGCAGTCAGCAGAGCACGCGTCTCCGTCGACAGTGTTGCCGTCGTCGCACACTTCAGAGCCGGAGATTACACCGTCTCCGCATACTGGAACGGTCGGAGGACGAGTCGAGTTTTCCATGGCGGAAGGGGAGGAGGAGTTTGAGCACAGGGGGTTGAAGCAGTAAAGGCACTTGTCCGGACAACAGTCTCCGAAATTATGGCAAACTTCGTCGCACCAGCAGGTGCCAGCGTTGGCTCCGCACGTCTGGTTGCAAGAGCCTTGTACCAGGTAGCGCAAGGACTGGACAGAGGAGGTGTCAGATGGTGCAGGAAGGAGTGAAGATAAGCAGTCAAATGTAGGATAGATCAAGGCACGATCATCAAGTAGCAATCGATGACTTGCAAACATGCAGAAAACAGATCGCAAACGCGCGCGGGGTCAGTGGACTAGTTGTACATGCACAAACACACCTGCTTTTCATGCGAGCTTCTTCCCGTAGATCCAGAAGGCATGCTTCTTGTGACGAGCCAACTCGCTCTCCCTCCCTCAGGAAGCTGCTCAGGAGCACTCGTGCTCGCATACGTCACCGCGCAGGCTGCCAGCATGGCGAACCAACTCAGACATTGTCCAGCTGGCGAAGGCATTGTTCTACGTGAAAGCACCCGGCAGTCCCCTGTTTCCCACCAGCGTCCCACCCTACCGCGAGGACTCCTGGTGGTCTTAGAACCCCAAAAGATAAGCTTGTAGGTACGGGTGGTCCTCGTAGTGTAGACCGTCCCCGGCAACCGGGGTGCGGCTATTCCCCAAGAGGTAGTACCCCTACACTGGAGCCTTTTTAATGGGTGCAGGTACCCGTGGTTAAGATCGTAATTTTCACTTACTACTTTTGAGTCACAGACTGCCGGGCGGCCCCGGCCGGGCCCGGGCCCCCGGGCCGCGTACTACGTGCCCAGGTGAATAAGGTAACCGCACATGATGGGTGTCCAAAAGCGACCGGCCATGGCGCGTGGGAAGCTAGCGATGATCGTCATGATGAGCGCGATGCTGGCGTCAACAGGAGGCAGAGAGTCGCTAGTGGCTGCTTCTTTCTTGCTCCCTCCTCCTTTCTCTCCTCCTCCTCCTCCTCCAGCCCTCGTTCAACGGAGCCCCCCTGAGCTCCTGATGCGGCTGAGAGGAGGGTCAATCTTCAACTCGCCAGGGGCAGGAGGGATATCAGAGAGTGCGATGACGGCGGAGGAAGCAGGAGACTTCTTTCGAGCATTCGGATCAGGACCGCAGAACTGTGACCTGTCGGGTACGGCAGCGGATGCGCAACCGACTCAGCCGATGAATACTTCCGATATGTTGGGTGAGCTGAAAGTTGGTGGGAGGTGTAGAGTTGTTGGTTGTGGATGTGGAACTTGTGGAGGTACACTTGCATGATGGTGTTTAATCCGATTACGTTCAATCTGATGGGTGTTTGATCGATCTCTCTTGGCTTGTCATTGTGAAGTGCAACTTAAACCACACATCGTTGTATTTCACATCAGTCAAGCAACATGTGATGAATGTATAGTGTTGACATAGGCTGCATTTCATGTATCTCTTCCCCCTCCTCCTTCTCCACCTCTTCACCTCTGTCCTCTCTCCTCCGCCTCCACCTCTTTATCCTCGTCCTCCATTCTCCCTTGTCCTCTTTATCCTTGTCACCCCCATCGCTCACACCAGCATCATGAAAGCTGTGGCTGTCTTTCACGCTGTTGAGCAGAGGGGGAGTGGTGCTATCCCGAGGAGTATCGCCTCATAGGCGAGCACATCGCCCCTCGGGTCGGACATCGGGTCCGTACGTCAGCCTTGTTGCGGGTGAGACAGGAGGAAAAAGGATAAGAGGAGGGGCGTTGGGGGGAGGAGGGATGGGGGGGAGAGAAGGGGGGGGCAGTCAGCAGGAGAAGGTGAAGAAGACGAAAGAGGGAGGGGAGGGGAGGGAGGGGAGGGGGGGGGAGGGGGGGAGGGGAGGGGAGGGGGAAGGGGGAGGGGAAGGGAAGGGGAGGGGGAGGGAGGGAAGGGGGAAGGGGAGGGAGGGAGGGAGGGAGGGAGGGAGGAGGGGAGAAGACAGGGGTGAAGTGGGGTGGGGAGGGGGAAGGAGAGAAAAAAGGAAGAACAGGAGAGAGAGACGGGAAGGTAGGGACACAGCACAGCAAGAAGGAAGGAGAGCAGGAGGAGCAGAAGGAGCAGAAGGAGCAGTAGAAAGAGCAGGAGGAGCAGGAGGAGGAGAAGGAGAAGGCGTCGCAAGGAAAGAAAGAAGGAAGAGCGATCAAGTCAGTTGAGGACTGAGCTTGAGTCAAAACAACCTTCCATCTCCTTTCCGATTCTTCCATGGCCCTCTGTCTCGAGTTCGCTCCTGACATCCTTTCCTGCGCTTCCTCCAGTGCTCTTTCGATGCCTCTCCCTGACTTAGACAAGGGGTCCCACCCTGCTATCGCCACATGGAACGTCGGCAGAACATTCTCCTCCTCCCCCGCTCCGTGTCGAGCTGCCATGCTACAAGATAGTTTGTTCCACCTCTTGGTTAATCCCAGCTCCTCCTCCTCCCTCTCCTCCTTCTCCTCCTCCTCTAGAACGACACGAGTTGCTGTTGATCAACGTTGTTTGAGGGAGGAGAAGATTGATGCGCTGGCTGGGAAGCAGCAACAAGGCTGAGAGTTGGAGAAGCGTCAGAGGTGCTGATAAGATGAAGTACTCTCGCTCCTTCCTCTCGAAACATCCTCTTGCCCTCTACCTGCGATCCTTCATGTCTCTCCCTCCTTCCCTCCCTATCTCTCTCTCTCCCCCTCCCCCCCTCCCTCTCCTTCCCTCGCTCTCCCTCCCTCTCTCCCACTTCCTCCCTCTTTCTCTCTCTGTATACTTCGAATCGTTCTGCATTCTTTCCTGCCTGTTCTCCTTGTCGTCTAATCCACTGCCTCCCTCCCCTTTCGTCTCTTATCCTAGTCCCAACATTCTTCGCTTCCCGAGTCCACCTGCATCACACCTGGGCAGTGGTCTGCCCTTCCTCTCCTCCTCTGCTCTGCTCTGCTCTGCTCTGCTCTGCTCTGCTCTGCTCTGCTCTGCTCTGCTCTGCTCTGCTCCTCTTCCTCCCCTCTCCCCCTCCCCCTCTGCTCTGCATCCGAGGAAATTTGCCTTGCATGGCCAAGTTGCTGCCGTTAATTGTGCCCTCATCCCCCCTAATTCCATTCGTTTCTTCCCTTCACTGCAGGTACGGATGGTCTTCTCAGTCTCTGGTACCTGGCGGATCACCATGGAGCTACGCTGACAGCGGAGTGCGATGGATGCGCTCGGGAGGCGGTGGCACTGGCAGGATGGGGACCCTCGCCTCCTATCCTCGTCCTCCTTTGTTTGCTCCGGTTTGCCTTCCTTATTGGTGCTACTCAGCTCCGAGATCATCTCGCTCGCGGGGGCCCAGCCCTTGACTCACACTGGGCCGTGAGACCACTGGGTTGCCGCCGGAGTCATCGTGATGATCGGGCCGTCACCAGTCTACTAGGCTAACTTACTAAGTCCGAAGTTCCGAAGTCCCCGGTCACATAATGACGGCCCGGGCTCATACACTCAGTAGTGTCACGATTATTAGTATCATGGCTATCATATATACGCTTTGCCTCCCACTGCCGCGAAGTTGTGTAAAACTTAAAAAATCTCATAGTCACACTGAGACTTCAAGCCCACGGTCCGAGGCTTCACCGGGCCGTGACGGTGGACGAGGCGGCGACTCCCTCCCCCCCCCCTTCAGAGGCAGGCGGCTATCTCCGGAGGGCAGAAGAAGAACTGCTCTAGGAGCAGCGACTGATTCGGCGCCATCTGCGCTCCCCCTGTGCTGTTCATAACGATCTTTCTAGTCTCGATCAAGACCTGGTTCAGCTCCGCCTCCTCCTTTCTCAGCTCACCCGCAAACGCCGACATGAACGGGCCCCCGTCCCCCGGCGCCCCCTCCAGCGCCACCTGGCCCGACTGGGTTGAGTAGATGATACAGGAGTTTTTCAGCTCAAGGTTCTGAACTGTCGTCGAGGGTTGGAAGATGGGGGACCGGCTGTTGTTGCTGCTCCGGCAGCAGTCCAGCACGAAGAGGGTCGGGCAGGTCCCGTTGCGGCCCCGGAGCTCCGACTGAACAGCATCGAAGGAGAGGGAGCAGCGAGCAAGGTCGGCCGCAAGGTCTTTTTCCCTCTGGAAGTAGTTGTCGACTTCGAGCTGGATGTCGGTGGGGAGGAGGAACAGCTTTCCGTGCACCTCCACTCCATGACCCACGAACGCGAGCATAGCAGCGCTCTCGTTGTCTCCGATCGCGTCCCGGAAGCAGCGGACGGCACCGACCAGCTCCTCAAGGTTCAGGTCGACCCTGAACTCCACCTTCCATCCTAGCTCCTCCAGTACCTCCCCCAGCTGTCGCCCATCAGGGACGGGGTTGTACAGCTCGGGGAAGCACCTTGCCCTGCGGTAGGCTTGGTTGCAGACTATCAGAGCTGCTCTCCTCCTCGTCCCCGCGAGGTTCCAACATGGGCCAACGGTCACTGCTTGCGCAAAGGGTGCCTCCTGCTCCGCCCGCACCAGCCAGCCGCGGACCTTGGCCATGCTCTCCTCCCCTTCCGCTCCCTCTCTCCACCTCCATCTTGCCATGGAGCTGCTGCGCAGGTCCAGCCCGCCCCCAGCACTGTCCCACTTGGTGGTATCGGTGCACTTGACATAGTGCTTCTTGCTTCTCACCTTAGTTGAGCTCCGCATTCGGACCTTGCCAACGACCGAGCAGTCTCTTTCCTCCCTGCTCTCCCTCCACATGCCTGCGAAGAGGAGGTGGAAGACTATGTACGTGGGAGGGACGCCCTCGCTCGTAGCTCGCAGCAGGAACCACACCTCTCGCTCGATCCTCCACTCCTCCCTCTTCAAACTTCCTCCGCAGGTGTAGGGGAACTCGTTGAAGCCAAGCACCTGCGACAGGGTGTGAGGAAGAGGGGTGTCCCACGTGGAGTTAGGAGGAGGAGGAGGAGAAGGAGGAGGGGAGGAGGGAGGGGAGGAGGAGGAAGAAGGAAGGAAATATGATTGTTGGACAAGCAAATGAGTGGAGTTGTACATGTCAAGATAGGAATCGGAAACATTGGCATTCGAATAATACACGTTGAAACAGGAGAAGCAAACATTCTCACAGGATCGCAACGTGAGAGACACCATGACACTGTGAGGAGGTAGAGAAAGTCAACCTCTAGATTGTCGTCACAAGATTTCAGCCTCTCATAGAGTTCGTTGACAGAAGTTCTTTGCCGATCCTCAATGCTCTTTTCCTCCTGCAAGTTCCACCCTGGAAAGTCCTCCGCCATCCGTGAACTGAACATGCAAGACTGCACGTTCAAATGGACGTCAAATTGCTTCAGCGACCTTCGAAACAAGCTCTCTTCTTCCCCAGGGCTGGCAGGCTGTTGGCAGAGAGGTCAGGGGTTAGGAGAGGGCGGTAGCAAGGGAAAGTACCTTCTTCTTCCTGGCAAACCTCTTTAGATACTTTTCAACCCTTAACTTGGACATCTCCGTAAGGTCGAGCGTTTTGATATCGATAAGCTCCCGCACAAACTTGATGTCTTTCTTTCCCCTCACCCCAAGGCTCTTCATCTTCTCTATCACTTCCTCTACCTCCTTCTCCTTCAGCTCCGCCTTGGCCAGCCCCTGTCGTATCTCATCCAGACCCCCATCCGGTGACAGACCGGGTGTAGCTGGACTCTTCTTCGCCCGACCCGTTGATTTCTCAGCTGAGCTGGACACCCCCGAGCTTCTCCTGCTCCGCGTCGGGGGTGTCCCCTCGATCCTGTCAGGAGACGCAGCGGCTCTCGTCGACACGGGCCCCTCCCCCGGTGCGCCCTGCCCGTGCTCCCCCTGCTCCTCGTCTGCTCCCCTCCCCTCCTCCTGCCCTCCCATCAGTCTCCACACCTAGTCTATCAGCCTCACGTTTCTCACGACCCCGCGACTCGCCGCCGGCTCTCCTTGACTGTCGCCTCCTCCGACCTGAAAGGAAGTGAATCCATTCTCCTCATAAATTTCCCCATCAACCTGCCGATGACATTCTTCAGGAAATACTTGACAATCCTGCTCCTTCCCTTCTCCTTCGAGCCTCCCTCTCCCCTCCTGCTCCTGATCCAGCGTCTGCCCCTGCTCCTGCGTCTGATCCTGATCCAGCGTCTGCTCCTGACCCCGCTGCTCCGACTTGAGGGATCTGCATCGCAGGCAGGCGAGCTTTGCCGCGTTTCTCAACACTCAATCGTGACGGGAGACAAGGAGAACCTGGTGGAAGCCGTTCCAACCTCGACTCTTGGCCTGCCGGGTGGAGCTCAACGTGTAAGGAGAGAGAAGAAGCAGGTCTTACACACTGAAGTCGAGATCGAGTGAAGAGCAGGAGTGCAGAAAGCAAACATCAGGACATGTCGCAAAGGTGATAAGCTCAATCACGTTCTAGCAAACAAGAAACGTCAGGCAAACATGTCACAGTAACTCAATCCTGCGCTCACGCAGCACTGTTGGTGTTGGTCCAGAAGTTCGATGCGACAAGACGCGGAGTCAGGTGAAGAACACTCAGAAGAGCATGACAGGACTTGCCAGCTGATATAACATGAAGGAAACATGCAAGTTTGCTCTTAGTCAGTGAAAAGACTACACCATAGGGCTTGAACAATTGACCACCTTCTGTCGACGCAGACGTCGATGCATCGGGTTGTTAGAGCAAGTCCCGGCAGATCACTCAGAGATGGACTTGTTAAGATGAGATAGGATACCTCCTGCATGTCAAGCACAGAAGTGTCAGAGGTCACTGGTAGTAGCTACAAGCCCACCTTCTGCCATGACCAGTCGCCCGAGCACGCAAGGTTGACAGGGATCGAGGAAGGTTCCAGTCAGCAAGACAGCAGCAGGTGGATTCAGACGTACATTCTGCCGCAAGGACGTCAAACGTGACCTCAACAACAGAGGAACAAAACCCACCAGCTGCACATGTGATCGCAGGGCAAGATAGTCAGGCCGGGAAGGGGACAGTCAGACATCAGAGACTCCTTGTACACTCTGTTCTTACCCCCTGCATCGTTCTCCTTCAGTCACAGTCACCAACACCAACTCAACTGACCGCCTGACGACGACGACGTCACTGAGAGTAGACAGGAACCCCTCCCATGCCGCAAGGCGGTTTCAGGGGGGGACATGTGAAGTCTTAGAGGAGCAACGCACCGTCTGCAACAGATCTCAGCGGGAAGGGAGGAGACTGCAAGGCATCCAACTTACACACTTCCGCTTGTCTGTTACTCCTGGTTCTATCGCCACCTGCTCGCATCGGAACGTCAACCCAACAACAACAGCACCTACCGAGCGCTCCGGCTCAATATAGGGCAGCAAACTATGGAGGGGTGGGGAGGAGCGATGGAGGTCGCGAGGAGCGATTCGTGGAGGAAGGAGGAGATCATAGTAATGGATAGAAGAGAGGAGGAGATGCTCATGATGCGTAAGGAAGCAGGAAGCCTCGCGCCCTACTTGATCCAAGGGGGTGCAGATCGTAACACACCAGCTGGACCTGTAGGTGGCTCCCGTCCCATCTCGAACCCCCGCCTTCCCTCGTCTCATCCATGCTAGTCTCTCCTCCCTCCGTTCTGTTCCGTTCCGTTCCTTCTTCCTCCTCATCCTCCTTCTCGTCCCTTTTAGTCCTCGTCGTCGTCACCAACCTCCCCATCCTCCTGCTCCTAGTCCTCCTCGTCCTCCTCGTCCTCCTTGTCCTCCTCGTCCTCGTCCTCCTCGTCCTCCTCGTCCTCCTCCTCGTCCTCCTCGTCCTCCTCGTCCTCCTCGTCCTCCTCGTCCTCGTTCTCGTCCTACTCCTCGTCCTACTCCTACTCCTCCTCCCCATCCTCCTCTTCCATCCAGCTCACCTCGCATTGAAGGCATTTTCGCGGCATTTTTCTTGATCCTTTTACGACGCTGCACCCCTCATACAGTACGAAATCCCTCATACAGTATCACATCCCTCATTCAGCACTCCTCTCCTCTCATAGCAATGGGGTAATACCATAATGTTTATTTCCTAAGAGCTCAATTAGAACATTTCATACCTTTACTACCCTTGATTTAGGTCCTTCTTCCACTCATACAGCCCCTCTGCTGACAGCAGTGCTGACGGCTGGTGGGGGAACAATCATGGTGGGTAGGGGGTAGTAAGTACAGGGTAGGGGTCATACGATATACCGGTACTTGTATATTATTTTCCTCTGATATTTGGGGTACCATGAGGATGTGATGGGGTCATGGAATTGACCTGAAGGTAGGGTCTAGGTTATGGGCAGTGCAGGGGTGCTATCATGTAAAGATAGGGGGTGGGGGTACTGAATTCAACCTACGGGGTACATTTACATCAGAGAAGGGGTGGTGGTGGGGTGGTGGAATCATGGAACAGCTAGGTCGAACGAAGGAAAGATTTAAATGATTTCCACAAATATTTTATAATTATGTTCTAAATATTGAAATATTCAAATAATCTTTGACAATATTAACACGACCCGAACATATCAATTTCCTGGTACTAAAATTGATGACCGGTGAAGTCACTTAGATAGCAAAATGAGGGGTGTGATAAAATGTTTTTGTTGCGTTGATGCGCACCGAATGGTTTCATTCAGGAGCAGGAGGAGCAGGAGCAGGAGCAGGAGCAGGAGCAGTAGCTGCAGCAGGAGCGAGAGCAGTAGCTGCAGCAGGAGCGAGAGCAGTAGCTGCAGCAGGAGCGAGAGCAGTAGCTGCAGCAGGAGCGAGAGCAGCAGCAGGAGCGAGAGCAGCAGCAGGAGCTGCAGCAGGAGCAGGAGCAGGAGTGTGTCACTAATGGGATGGAAGAGCAATAGATAGTGCGGCAGGATGGAATGATTCAACACAGGATGTGCTAGGATCACTCTATTACGTTCACACTTCCAAATTGGTTGTAGGAGCAGACTCAATGTCTAATGGAATTCCCGTTGCTACTGTATGTTTTGCATGGTGGCACCTCGATCAGCCCAAAGATGTTTTCAGCTTCCGACCTAAACTTTTCACACTTGACCATTTAAATGCTGCTGTCAAGGGATGACACTTCGGGCAGCTTGCAGGAATTGAAAGATATTGTTCTACAAGAGCGCAACAGGAAAGCTTTTGGGGCTTTCGAGAGGTTGTGGCAGAACGCGAAGACGGTGGGATCCTGCTGCGATTGCGATGGATCTGTGAAATTTTTTCGCAGGGATGCATTTCTCTGGCTGATCTTGCTTGCTAATTGTTGTGACATGTGAGATTTCCATTGTTGCATGTCTTGCCAGGTTGAGGAATGACCTGGATCATGCTGAGCAGTGGCGACGGCGCAAGTCCTCCTCTTTCAAGCTTGGAGAGCATGCAACACGTCAACGACGAGAAAGCGTTCAAGGAGCAACGCGGGTAAAGAGGACGAGTCCTTGTGTGCGATGGGAGGATGAGCTGCGATCCAGTGCTGCGAAGAGCAACTGCGCGTTCAAGAACGGCGAGGCTGGTGAGTTGATACTGAACATTCGTCTTCTCCTCCTGGTGAAACATGATTCGTTTCCTCGTCTCCTCCTCGTGAGATCAATCCTTTCCTCCTTCCTGCCTCCTTTCTCTCCTCTGTGACATGATCCGATCCTTGTTGTTGCCATTGAGCGCTGTGGTCATGTGACGGGGTTGTTGGCAGATGGTAACAGTGCCTCGCGATCGAACTCGCAGGAGGCGTTGAACGGCCTGGAGGTGAGTGGGAGGAGGGAACGAGAGCCGTGGCACGGAGCTGACTGTAGAGTGAAGATGAGGGGCCTAGACGAAGACAACGATAACGATGCGCGGCTGAAGCTGTACCGGAGGTGAGCCCGTCTCTTGCCCCGACGAACTTGAGTTGTCTGACTGGCCCTTCCTTTGTCTTGCACCAGAGATGGGAGGAGGTCGCGTTCAAGGTACTTGTTGATGACTGTTTGTTTGTGCTGTTGACGGCTGTGGGGAAAAGATCTTTGGATGATATCAGAGCCGAGTTGCTTCCAAGAACGTCCTCTCCATCGTGTGGTCGGAACAGGTAAGATGGAACGATGTACAGGAAACAACCTGACTGACGGATCTGCACTCAGCTTTCTTCCCGAAGGGATGTTGTTCGGGATAGACATCGGTCACTTCCCTTCTCCGCCATGTTGACTCTGTTTGATGATCATGGAAGGAGGAACACTGGCAAAGATTGTCTTCAGGGAGCCAGGTTCGAACGGTCTGTGGTGTTGAGATGCAAGAATGGGCTTGTAGAATTGTTGTGCCCATGTTCATGAGCAAGTTCTGATATGTTTGGGAGGGCTGGACGGACGTTTTGAGATTGACAAATTCGAGCTTGCAATGTCCAACAGAGCTGATTGTGTTTCTGCCAGGACTCCTGGCTCAAGGCCCGAAGTCAGAGCAAGCGCACAGGCTCAGACAGTACTTCCAGACTTCGGTTGTGTTGACATGAACTTGCTCGAGTCACGTCTGTGATGTGCTGATGACAGGAGGGAAGGGTTGGGAGTGAAGACGAGAGGCTGTACTTCTCCGATTCTCTTGGGTCTCGATATGTTGGGTCAACCTTGCAGTCCGTGACACGTTCTATCTTTGTCCTCCTGCAGTGTGTTTGGTGGGAAGATGCACTTCCTCAAGGTTAGACGGAGGAGTCTGGGGTGTTGTAGTGGGTCAGTGAGACGTTCCTGTCTGCAGTTGGAGACTTCGAGCATCGATTTCTTGTTCGAGATCCTCCGCAAGGTCCGTTGAGAACCTGAGCTGCTTCAAGGGTCAGAGATGCTGATGTGATGATGTACAGGAGCGGCAAACGAGTCCTCATGAAGTAACTCAGGTTGGTAGTGGCGTCAGTGCTGAGCTAGATGTGGAGGGGGGAGGAGGGGGGGGGGAGGGGGACGGGCGGGCTAA